CAATCGACGCCCCTCGGTTGTTTCTCCCCGCCCCGCAGCCCCGCCCTTCTCCCCCGCTCGCACTCCGACGGCAGGGTGTCGCAACACAGCACAACGTCAAAGCAGAAAAAAAGTTTAGGGAAAACTTAAGTTCCCCGGTTAAGAGGTATGAGCACTATCGTCACCACTGAAAGCACAAATGCAAAAGGAAATTTTCGTATGTCTGTCACATATAGACGCTAAACACTAATCGACCGATTTCACTGAAATGTTCACACTTTGTTCTTATTAGTATCGGAAGTGTTTAAAGAGTGGTTTGAATTAAACGTGACACTTGTGGGCGTTATTGATGATTTATGCGTGTTTAATGACTCAAGCACTTCTGACCAAAATATCTAAGAAACCCACACACCATCAAGTATTAAGCGTTTGTGGCTTCATATTCATCACCTACGATTGTGAAATATCGGCTGGAATTATTTCATAAGCGTTATCTCGGGCAATTAATCAAATGTCTCCAAGATTATATCATAGCGAAAACATACCTAAACTTAAGGGAGAACGTTTTAACAACAGGATATTTCACAACCGTGTCCAAACAAGAACATAGAACAACCCTATTATCGCGGGAAAACCTTTCGTCTACTAGAAGTTTTGCAAAGTGTAGCGTAAAACGTTATTAACAATCAAGTGAGCAGAAGTCTAATAGCACTAGCAAAGCATTGCATAGTATTAAATACAATTTACTGGCACGTTTCCCAAACGTGACGGTTATAACTTTAAATTAACTATTGTTTGTGTTCACTCTACATATATAATAATGACAGGTTAAGTGATGTATAAAATCTGCAAGTGCATCACTCTCAAAAGGACAGTGTAAATGCCTCTTTCAGTGCGCTCTCGTTTATTTTTGATCATGTGCAATTGGGACACTGCATATGCATTTAATCGAGGTCATGCCCTAAAATGTGCCTTTTGTATCGACATCATGTTGGTTGTAGTTTGGTTGTTGGTTGGTTGTTTTGTATCGACATCATGTTGCAGGTATCGACATCATGTTCAACCGATTCTGGTATTAGTAAGATGCTCCTTCTATAGGACGAACTAACTGTAGTCACCCTCGAGATTAGAAGAGGCGCGGGGCGCAACACTGACTCAATGCACCGAGATTCATATTCTGACGCTTCGTCATACAGATAGATCAAACATCGTTAAATAGATCTCAAAAACTGGTCCAAGCCAGATTGTGACTTTCACTGCCAGAAGGCATGGGTTTGCATGATATCAGCACAATCTGAATAGCAACAGTGGTATACTAGTCGTTTTTCTGCACGTAACTGATGATTGTCACTGTTTACGTCTCCGGAAGTATTCTGATTTGACTTCATATTTTCTTGGTTAACTCTACACATATCCCCAACTATACTGGTTTTATTGTTTGCTTTGATATGTAACTTTTATACTGAAAGTATACTTTTTACTTAACATCATACTTTTATAATAAAATGAACATTTCTTTTCATATTTTAAATCATATTATCTTTAGTGACCCGTTAAGTTTCACAATGCCCTCCTTAATCCTTATTGACAAGAAAACCATGACTTGTAGACCATACACATACCTTATATGTCTTTCTTATTTGACTTCCTCCACAATATTTCTTACCATTTCATCTATAACACCATTATTTACGATTTTGTAATCATATTTTTAACTGCATTTTGCCTCCATAGACCGTGGAATTGAAAAACACATCTTTCTAGAGCTCACCATGTCCCCATTTCCCCTTCTTTTGTTCCGCATGCCCAAACTGAACCGCTGACCACCTCCAGAGGCTCCGTAAGTCTCCCCCCTCTCCGTTTCCTCCGCCTCCGTTGCCACCGCCCGCACGAGCCTCGCTCAACCGACCTCCGCGCCTCCGCACCTCGGCGCCTGCCGCCGCGCCCCGCGCCGCTCCACGCCCCGCGCCGCTCCACGCCCCGCGCCGCTCCACGCCCCGCGCCGCTCCACGCCCCGCGCCGTCACGTCCTTCCGGGTCCGCCTTCGACCCGTCGCAGCCCCACTCCCGCCCGCACTCCACCCGCCGGGCCCCCGGGCGTCTCGTGAGTGTGTCACACAATGCTCCCAAACGGCCGAAATGTACTCGCGGGTGAATTAATTAGTTACGCGACAAAAATATAGCCCTGTGTTTACAGCAATTTTGAGATGAAGAGAGAATCGTGCATAATCTACTTATTTTTGAAAAATATACTAAATCAGTTTAAGAATTAAAGTGCTCAGCCGAACAGGGGTTATGTCATATTTTTTTTGTGAAACTGAGTCATTAGCATTATATACAAATTCAAATATTATTACTGTAATGTGTAATACGTTATTTAAATCCAGTATGAACGTGTATGCAAGTGTACTGTGTTTAAAATGTTTAAAACGTACTGCATTATATTAGCAAAGTTCGGGTAAAACCCTCAATAACTCAGAAACATAACAATGTGGGATATCCCCTTGTTCTACTAATCCCTTCAATTGATTTACTTTAAATGTAACCATCATTTTTACAGCTTTATTCATTAACATTGCAAGCTATTACTCAGAATAGATTTTTTACGTGTCTACGCCTGTTCAAAACAGCATTTACCTTCTTTCATTAAAACAAATGGAAATACGAAACTGCTGATTACTACCAATATGCATGAAAAACTACGCGACTACTGTAGACAACGCTGGTTCAAGAATTAGCCACATCAATTATATTCCTTGACGAAAAAGTGCGTATATAATTGAATAGACAATGAATTTTTCTCTAAAAAGTGTGATGATAAACAATGGTGAAACGAATCGACTGAAACCTTAAATTAAGTACAACTATTAATAAAATGTTGCCCTTTTCATCTGCAGACTTTTGTATTGATAAGGTGAGAAATTCAAAAAAAATTGCAGAAATATTAAAACGGAAATAATTTTGTTGAACAAAAAAAATATATTTTTCATGCAACTATTCATAGCATTAATAAATTACTCTTCATAAAGTTAATGAAACCTTTTAGTAATTAACTGTATGTACATTTTCAATCATGAAGATAAATGTAGAAATTAACTAGATATGTAACTGTAGATATGCGTATCAGCAAGTTTCATTTTTAAAATCTGTATGAATTTTTAATTTTTGTCAGTATTTTTTTTAATTTTAGAAATGTTAAGAAATAGGTTCTTGAGTTATAGTCCTACCTCGCACATTTACATTTTTTTATAAGTGTGCGCCTTTGTAAAATCGCAGATATCATCCGGTGTTGTTTTGGCCCACTGTCATCAGTAACGTGCGACCACTTGCCTCTCCCCACCCCCTACACCTCTCTGCACTTCTGGATGACGTGCGGTTGTGTGGAGGCAAAACTGGGGATGTAATATACTACCTCTTGGCGTTCAGCAAGTGTTGGGCACAACACCAAACACGGAATATCCTGAAAGCGAATACTGGAATGAAGCATTATTGATAATGATAATAGGGAATTAGATTTGTAGGTTTCTTCCCTTTTTAGATTCTTTGTTTTAAGGTATCTAATGTAAATTTTCAAATAAATATCATTACAATTGACATTAGTGAAAGTAACTTTGAAAATGCAAAATGATTCAGTGAATTGCATCGTCATGAGTTATATTTATTGTAATTAGTATTCTGCATTATTTTTTGGGCGTTATAAAAATTGACCGCCTTCATTTTAAACGTTTATTTTCTTATAGAAAATGTAATTTTCTGATATTTTCTTCGTGGAGCAGTAACCTTTCCCCCTTCCACGTGCGTATAAATCTCGTAATAAATAATGATTATTATTATACGGCGATGATAGAACATGTGTCGAAGTGTGTCGATGATAGAACATGTGGTAGGCCGACTTAACACAACTCATCAATATTAATTTACAGAAGCATGTGTTATCCATATAAGACCAATAGTCCACTAGCATTAGTCCCACCTAGTTCAATAGTAAAACTTTCTTTTGTGTACTTTTCTGGCTCCTCTGGGTGTTGATACATTGGCTTTGCAGCAATCTTCATATTTAGGAAGTATTTAATAGAAGATTTAGTACACGAAAGAATGTACCTTAACGTGTAGTACATACAAACAACTTACTACCAGGTTCAAATCTGTCTTACATTTAGGGTCCACATTCAAAAACAGAGATTAACAACAGTCATTTTGTGTTTACAGCATTCACACTAACGTATTTACCAAACTTTCATTCATTAAAGAATGAATTTCAAATAACAATGTAAATTATCTGGAGTTTAAACCAATTTGATTGATTAGAAAATGTAAAAAGTATGTATATAAGCAATTCATAATATATGCCGAAGAGGGCAGTTTCATTTTCGTAAAATCTCACTCCTTTGCCGCTATGTTTGTTTACATCTGACATTGTGTCTAACTATATTTCTATTTTTATTGCGTCAGTCTCTGCATTTTTTTATGAGTATCCGTTTTCATTCTTTGGAATGCTTTGCAAAGTTCGCAGACGCGTGTAAACTTCCACAACATTGCGAGAAATTTTTCCTGTAAAAACATTTAGTTCGGTAAGACACGGATTTTAAAGACTAAATCTTCTGTACAAAACGCATTTTAATTATAATCAAGATATTTAAATTCAAACATGTATTGGGTAGTAAATTTTAGAGTAAAATATAGTCAGTTGGCGTTATGAGTAAAGGGGAAACTTTGAAGTATCGAAATTAATCTTTATTGCCCCCGTCATCGATTTTTTTTCAAAAAAGTGTATAAATTGTTTACGACTTGTTATTTCAGTAAAGAGTATGCATTACGTACACATTTCATCAGTTAGAAGTTAATAAACTAATTAATTAAAAATATTTAAGAAATTTTCTGTAGCTAAATAAAATGCCGTTTTTTGAACAGATAAAACGTGTGTCCAAAGTCTATAATTTAATGTACTGCGTAAACCCGTGTCATATTGAACAATATAGGACTTTAACAAAATTGGAGAATTTAGTTTTATGAATTACATGATACTGAAGATAACAATTAATTAATATTGTAAAACATTAGTGCATTTCCGAATGTTCTATTTAATTGATTTCATTTGATATAATGTTAAACGTGTGGACAGACTTTGAAGTTAATAAAACACTGCTTTCCCTTGTGGAAATATGTATAATAACAAAAAATATATTACGAGTAAATACTCCAACTAAACATCATGATTAAATGGAATATTTTCAAACATTCCAAGCCTTAATGCCATTTTTGAAATTGATTTGATTTAAATAAATAAGAAGAATCGACACGATTCTTGCTCAAATGTTACATTACATTGCGGAAAAAAGAACAATAATTTCTCTAACATTAAGGAAGGGCCCAATACCAGCAGGTATGCAGCAGTTTCCACATTCACCGTCAGATGGTAGCAGCGCTCCTTTCGCACAGCGCTTCTGCGGCTAGGTGCTGAACTACATGCACGGGCCAAAATCCCCACTCATCCGACGAAATGAGGCGTATTTAATTCGGGTGAATAAAAGCAAATAAAAAGGAATATCATCCCTTTGGTGAAATGTAAATGGGAAATATAATACGGATAAAAAGGTGGGATTGCTAATTAAACATCACTTCACTAAATAATGTCCTTTAAAAGGCAGCTTATATTTAAATGGATTCCGACATCATTTTCGTCAGACAAAAAGAATTTAAAATAAAATTACATATTTTTCAGTTGCCCATCGTACGTGGATCAATAGGCTACATAACAACTACTTCCCATCTATCAACATGCAATGTCATTAAAAACGTTGTACGTTAAGTGTTTAGGCATTTGTCACGTATTAAATGACATGTTTTACTACATGTTGCAGTCTAGTTTCATAATGAATTGGCTAAATATAATTACAATAGTGATATTTTTAGCAGTTCCAAACTTTGCAGTTTTCCCATCAAATACTTAAACCCATTTCTAATGATAAATCAATAATGCAAACAAAATCATTTTAATGAAATATTTAAAATTTGAAAACATTTACGCAAGCAATGTGTTTTCCCCGTCTTTCAGAAGGCTCCGAAGAAGAAGGGAAGAAATTTTCTGCAGGGTGATCAACAGTTACATGATCGGGAGGAAGAGAGCCAATTAAGAAGCGGAACTCCGCACAAAGACTGCGACGGGCTTTCCACTGGTGCGCCTCAATCTGGGCAGGTATTGCCCGAAGTGAACTCCGCCGCCAACGTTACGGCTGTGACGCTTCTCGGTGGGTTTCTATATTAATTACTTCCAAAATTATTTCTTATTTTTAAAGTAGATTCTGCCAGTTTAAGACGTCAACATCACATTGCGTATGAGTTAATCTTAAGCTCATTAAAATTCCAATGGTTGTTTCCACAGATCTGGCAGATGATTGGGTCTATTGTGATTAGATTCATGTGTGTTCCAATTTTTTGTGGAATGAAAAAAATAGCTATCCGAAAATATACTGGTTTCATGTATACCTCTACTATTCATGTAATGTCATTTACAGAATATGTGTTCATTATAAAGGCTTTGACTATTATTACTAAGTAGCATATGAAATAAATATAAAGAGCATGATATATGACATAAAATGCAACAAAATACATTGTATAAAGGTCCATTAGGAAGAACACAAAATGGCACAAAATGCTTTAGGGTAGTTTACAAAAACTAATTGTTACAATATATACCTATTTCGAGCAACAAAGTGAATAAGGTGCTCCAAGTACTTCCATTTTATTTTTGTTATTTCGACAATCTCAACATCTTACGGCTAATAATTTTAAACACGAGCGGAAGCTGACGAGAGTCAATTACTTTTCACTTCCTGGTCCAGCAGACGCAATAATCGAAACTGCTTCTCGAAGCAATTTTTCTACAAAAACGTTCGACTGCGCACAGTGACAGATTCACGCAGGTCAATCAACGTCACAGAAATGACGCAGAGGGGAGAAACACACGGGCGCCACTAATGGGGAATAGCGCGGACGCGACACGGAGAAATACCCGAATTCCATTTCCTCGCTGGGCGCTGTTTCTTTCGAAAATATACGAAAAAAGGATATTACAATAAATACTCGTTTTTAATCTTACAAAAATAACTTTGTGAATAAAAATGAATACTGAATAGAACCCATTGCTTCAAATAAATTTTCAGGCGGACATATGGAAATAATGTTGCACAAATATTGACATGTATTTGCATAGCTTTGTGAGATAAAAATACTTAAATATTCACTATTTTTTCATGATAATTTCTTAAAATCCTTTCTGTAAAGAATTTTGATGTCAGAGAGCAAACCATTTATCAGAAATACGTCAATCAATACAACATTAATCTTTCCAAAGTCAGACCAGTCCATTTCCCTTAAGCGAAACATAGTTCTTTTGGATTAAAAAACCACAGTACTTTTACAAAAAATCATTATTTCGCGAATATATTCATGCAAATCGTGCGATATATAATTTTAGTCATGCCGGTTTAGAATATTTATTTATTTTTGTATTTCAAGTTTAGTTATTTTGTTTTCCCCGCCCAGTGTAGTTGTGCTTTGAAAACTTCTGAAAGCTATGTACAAACTAGCATCCAATTTCGGTAAAATCCTAGGAGTTTCCATAATCCCAAGATAAGCTTATGTGACCTACTTCTCCCCACAATCAAACAGTCTGGACTTTGACCCTCGTTGGCAGCATGCCATCCCCTGGGGGAAACTGTTGCTGAACTCTCGCGTTGCACACAGTTGAGAAATGGTTTAAAAGACTCGCGAAGGAAACGAAACAAAAATCAAAGGGTCATCCTATTTGCTAAAATTACATATAAGTAATACAAATGCATAGAAACTATGTATGTTTACGAAATGTCATGTAGAAAGTATACTTTACCTTATTTTCAATATAAAATGCACATTTGATTGAGATTGAAAAGTAGTACAATAGTCATTTTAGATTTGTAGTCTTCTTACAGTGCAAGATAATTATCAGAAAATAAACGAAAATTATGGAAAAATACTCTACTTTTTTGTGAAAACCCCGTTAAAATAGATTTGGCCGTTTACAAAATTATCAAGGACATACAACCATATAGGCAGGGAAAAATTGTAGAACCAATTGAATGGGTTTTTGTATCAACGAAATAACCACTTAAGCTTATAAAACACAATTATTATATATTTGACACATAATTTAATTTCCTTATGATACATATTAAATATCGTAATAATAAGCAATAATAAATATATCAAAATAAATTATATTTTTTCTCAATACTACGATAAAATCAAGGCATTTAATTTCACTTTAAAAGAAAATATTGTCAATGGTGAAAATCAAAGTTGTTGCGATATTTTCCCTACAACGGATTGTTAGTATTAAGTCGTGTTCTGCACTAGAAGGTTTATCTTTGGCTGGAACTACTATAAAATGTATAAAAATAATTCATATAGAAATATATTTCAGACAACGCGATAAATAAGTAAGTATTCTGATTGAATAATAAAAGTAAGAAAAACGTTCCATCGTTTGCCTGCGAGAATCATAGGAATCTAGCTGCCATTACTTGAAAATAAACTATAAACCTAACAAAAAGGCTGAAATGACATAGATGCCACATATTTTATTCGTATTTTCATTTATGCTTGTTATATAGTCAAAAAATCTTGCACGTAAAAATGTTTGGAACTGGAAGCGTATTGTCGACGCGCGCGTTTGCCGCAGTTTGCGCGCGTGGGCGGCCGTGCCGCTGCCGCGTGGGCGAGCGAGGGGCGTACTCACATGATGTCGCCGAGTTTGACGCGCGTCTGGACGAGGGCGCACGACTTGAAGTCGGAGGTGGTGACGGCGCGGCGCCGGCGGTAGCGGGGGCTGGCGGGCGAGTGCGGCGGCGCGGGCGGCCACCCCTCGGGCGCCGCCGGGTCGCCGCCGAGCCGCACCAGCGGCGAGCTACCCCGCCGCCGGGTGCTCATGTGGCGGCCCGCCACCCCGCCCAGCATCCTGCAACTGCACCGCCGCCGCGCGCTCGTTAGGCGCTCACGCACACAACAACAACAACAGCAACAACAACAACAATTTACTCGTAGGGTGCACGCCTCTCCAACATCAGGTAACTGCTGCACCAACACGATTGCTTCATATTGAATCACAAAGAACAACAACATACAGTGCATCATAGAGTGTAACTCTCTACAACATGTCAGCATGCATAATACTGTTGCATCAATACGATTATTAGACATAGAATCACAAAGAACAAAAATATACAGTTCAACATTGACAAACTCTCTCCAACATCTTGTGGCAGTTGCTCAAACACTAATCGTTAGACAATGAAGCGCAAAGAAAACAACATATAGTCCAACTCTCTCCTCCATCGAGTAACAGTTGCACCACAAAAGAGAGAAACCAAAACCACCACCAAAAGAGAGAGAAAAGAGAGAGAGAGAAAGAGAGAGAGAGATAAAGAGAGAGAAAGAGACAGAAAGAGATAAAACGAGAAAGAGAAAGAGAGAGAAAGAGACAGAAAGAGAGATAAAACGAGAGAAAGAGAGAAAAGTAGAGAAGATTTCGTGGTTAAATTGGTATATAAATAGTCACAAATAAGTTTCACGTGGATTTCATTGAAAATTGAGAAAGTATAATAGTATTTGCCAAAATATAATATGTAAAAATATAAAACCATAGTTGATATTTCTCTTAAATTGGTCAATAGATTAACGCGATTTCCAACTTTTAACGGCAAGAAATGAATGGAGGTCTTGAGAGGTTCGTTTTCAACATTTTAAACAGCATTAAAAACAACGTTAAAAATATTGCTTCAGGGGAGAATGCAACCGTTCACTCGTAAAGCAGTGCTGGCATGCGGGTTGCGTCGTAGTTTTCAAGACGCGTATACGTTCTTTGCTCTTGGAAAATGTTTTTAAAAAAATAGTTATTTATGAACAACTGCCGTTAATAATCGAGCGGTGACAAAAACTCCGAGGGCTTTTTGTATGCATGGATCATTAGAACCAGTTACCGCCCATGGCACATACATAAATTTATTTTTTACGTAATTTGAATGATTAAGATTGAATTATTTACTAAAGAACTAATTGTTAACTTGAGTCGGTTTGTATTTTCATATTTTACTACCAAAACTCTCTTTCATAATTATCTTTATAAAAGAAAACGTAGCACCGTTAAACTGTTTTCATGTTTCTCTCGTAACTGTAATACTCTTCATCAAGGTAAGTTACGCAGCTTATATCGAACTCCGTATCGAAGACAGTAACAGGCAATAACGTATCAGTAAAAAATGAAGGCATTTTATATGCACGTAAAAAGGAAGACCAACAGTATGACAGAAAAACACAAGTTCTCTCTACTTGACGAGCCCGTAGTGGGAGTATTTCAATAAAAGTTCAGATAACTTTGTTCCATTTCAATCGCAAATAATGAGAAAAAATATGTTAGCTATGTGAGACTGCAGCTCTCATTCAGCATGCTTTTATACGTTACAAAATTAATAATATTTAATGAATACGAATACTAATAGATTATATTTTCTTCAAATATTTCTTTGAATTCAAGTAGAAAATAACATAATTTCCAACAACAAAATTAATTATCAACTAACGATACATAAAATGATCTAATAAAAAATAATACAATTTAATACAAGTTTTTAAAAATTCAAATATCTATTGATATGTAATGAGACTTTAAAAATAAATATATTCAGTTAACAAATTAAAATGTACTAAAACACTAAATTTTAGCATAAAATTACTAATATAAATATGATTATAGCATTTGATCTTGCTATTGAAATGATTCTATTTCTTTGTTATATTTATCATATAACGGAACCTCCTGCTTGTCTTACACACTATGTAGGATGCCAGGACGTAACAGCACATCAGTAAGGAACAAAAATAGAATGCCCTGTTGAGAACGAGAACAAATGAGCTCTGCTGCTCGCAGGTAATTCGTCCCGTCACTCATGGCGTCACTGCTCCCAAACTTTCTAATAATAACTCAGGAATAGATCAATATGCTTTCATTGTTCCCTGGGCTCGGGAATATTCAATGTATCCCACGTATTTATTAAAACGTGCATAAAAGCGCGTTAACTGTTTAGGTTATTCCTACTGCTATGTTTTTGAAAGAAAATTGGAGCTTATATTCATTTAAATGGACCATATGTCTCATAAAAATATAATTGCAGAACTCAGAGCAAATGGCACTGTTCAAACTGACATTGAAACAAATCAAACTGAAATTGAGGCACTATGCCACTCTAACATAACTTTGACATTAAAAATCTACGGAAAAACTTTTCTTTATTTCTCTGTCATTTGTAGCCAACATTTAATATTACTTAGATAGGGAGAGAGACGGGGGGAGAGAGACAGGGGAGAGATGGGGAGAGAGAGAGAGGGGAAGAGAGAGGGGGAGAGAGAGCGGGGGGAGAGAGAGCGGGGGGAGAGAGAGCGGGGGGGAAAGAGAGCGGGGGGGAGAGAGAGCGGGGGGAGAGAGAAAATGTGGCATATGACATATTTCCCCTACATTTTCAATTACCTTTTATCTCTACAGACTTTCATAAAAAAATATGCAACTTTCTGCGTAGTGTGTTTAGCTCCAGAAATAATATGTGTCGGTGTCGCACTGAAAGTTTTTGATTAGGGTTCTCAGAATTTTTGTAATCATTCGATGGCCAACACGACCGGCAGAGATAAGCTTAGAGTCAGCATTGGCACCTTTTTCTGCAGCGGCTCTGAGCGGTAAGTCCTAGGGGACGAGTCCTGATGATGTATTTTGGACACTACCTAGATCGAATTCAGTCGCTGTCTGGAGAAGAATTCTAGCGGCCGGCAGATCTGATTGGTAGTTTTCCGTAGTTTCTTCGACTACCATGAAAATGTCGGAGAAGAACGGGAAATAAACGGGACTCGGATCGCAAGCGATCTCTCCGTCTTATCCCCGCCTTTTACACAAGACTTGCACCTAAATGCCCTACACTACCACAAATGTCAGGAGACCAGTTTGAAGCCAAGAATTTGTCACGGTTGCGGCGGTGCTGGGGAAAAACTACCTAGAGGGGGATACCACCGCAAGCCAACGTGTATTTCGACCCCTGTGGGGAAGAATTCATCATCAATTGCTGGGATAAAACATTCATCACACAAACGGGACTAATAATCACAGTGGTTTACGTGCCCCGAAACACGAAATAATCAATCAACTAAGAATACTTAGTTTTTAGTCCATATGGTCTACTATTAGAAATTATTTTCCGTTTGCAGCGTATCTTACACTGCGCGGATAAACTGGACGAATACGATCAAGTTGTCTAAGCCGTACGCAATTTGCTATAAATTAAATAAAAATTCAGTAGGCGTACTCGCAGAATTCCATGGTTTTCAAATTAAATAATACGTAAATATTTTCTGCCACTTTTCAAGCTTTGGAAAGTTACTTGTGATTTACTCTGCACAAGATAATTACTCTCAATTTGTAATTATGTTTCGAAAATATATTCATCAAAATATTATTATAAACATTTTGCGCTTGAAATTCCATCTTTCAGATAAACTAACAGAAATTGCGATGGTGTCACTTGAAACTATGGTGCCCTTTTTAACAGTAAATTATAACAATAAATAATAGTGGAATTTAACATTTTATGTATGCACACACACGGTACTTCAGTGGAAGCTGCTTAAATCCACGACGTTTTGAAACAATTTCCAACAAACAAGCACCTGCTGTGAAAAAGCCACCTCTTCAGATGATGGTACGTACAGAAATGATGTAAGTGATGAGCTGTTATGTTTCCCATATTTACTACAGCTGCTATGATTTAGAGATTTTTTGTCATTTTGCTATAGAGTTTTTCATGAGTTATTTAGACTGAAATACGAAGATACAATATTACTTGCTAATATAAATTTTTATATACTCAACAGGTATGCATTTAATAAGTTGTTCGCTAAACACCCCAAATAACTCGCTCGTTAAAGTGACCATTCTCTTACAATCGATGAGAATTCTGTTCATTCGGAGGAAAGGGCTATTAATTTCATTTTCAGTGCTAGCTATGCGTGCTGAACTATGCAGAAACCGTTTCCGGACTTTGGAAGGGTAGGCGTATGGAATATTCACTAGATTTTCCAAGTAATCCTCTCCACGCTTTCCTAGAATGAGGAAGGAGGCGTTCGTCTCAGGATTCACAGCACTGCCGTTTGAATTAAATACGCTGAAGGGTATTCAGGACGGTCTGTTCACAAGTTTGTGTTCAGGATAACCAAGTGGCATGTTCTGCTATGCATATGAGCGGTTCAGTCATGACATCTGATTCAATAATTGTTTTCCGGTACTCTAAAAGTTTACTGAACCCAGATCTCTTCAATTATTAAGAAATATACAGCTGAGAACATTCACATCTACATAGAAAATAAATGTATTAAAGCATGTATTTAAAGAAAAGAGTATTAGTTTATAAATAAATCTAAAAATTCAATGCATGTTAATTATGTGGTATTACAAATATTGTAAATATTAGTATTAAAATTGTTGACATCAAACGTACACGTTCCATAAATATCTTAAAGAAAAAAAAGCACGTCTAGGTACACAAAATTACTAAGATGTTTTTCTGCGGTGCCTTTGCAGATTCCTTGAAAACAATGCTTCACTATTACTTCACCAAGAAAACAACCATATTAAAATGAGATTTCAAATTAAAATTGTTTGGAGAAGTTGGAGTCTAAGTGTCATACTTCTTCTTCTTTGGTCCTATCTTCCATATACGGAAGTTAGGTGACCCATAACGGGTTTTCTTGGGATAAATTATTCAGGGTGGTTTCCCGTTGCCTTCCCTGATATGATGATGATGATTATGATGATGATAGGGAGTGAAAGGACGAACACAATACAACCATGCCCGAGGCGGGACTCAAACCCGGGATCTTTCGGTACAAGATCGCTACGGCACTACTGCCTTGGCGATCTCGGCCACCGGATCGGCAAGTGTCATACTTAAAACAGATTAATATCGTCTGATAAATGTCTTTTTCTCACGAGGTGAAATATTAAGTTTCCCATCGAAGAGATTGCCTCAAATTTTACTGAGTACTGCCTTTACAGGCGTACTGTTCACAATTAAATAAAACTATTATCAATATCTTTTATATTTGTATGGAAAGTAAACGAAGCTCAAAACGTTACTAGTTTCTTAAATGAATGAATAGCAATAACGATTTAAACTGAAAACACATAATTAGCCACATAATTAGCCAGATACTCTTATCAATATGTGAATGTTCGTCTAACCACATATTAAACATGTTTTTGTATTTGAAATTCATCAAATAACAGTTCGTTTTACTTCCTTGAATTACATTTGTTACGCTTGTTATTCTGCAAAAAAATAACAACAATGAATTAACACAATTAATTTCAGCAAATTATATTTTTGTAATACTATTTGTATTAATATGATATCAATGTCTTCAGCAATGTCTCATTTGTCTTTTTATTCACAGAAAAAGTAAGATAATTGCCCGAAAATTTGAAAATTGAAGATATTCATTACTAATGAAGAAAACAAAACAATACCAGAGCTTGAAAACGAGTTACATGGAAAGTTGATTAGGAAACGGGTGTAATGGCGATAAAAGTAGAAACAACAAAAATAAAGTGAATCTTATGAAACTTGTAAAAAGAAAATTACATTATTAAAAACCAAAACTGAATATTTTCCTTACATATGATGATAAAGAACCTTCAATTACATCAAACAAGTTTATCACTCCGCCTCTCTCCCTAATGTAATTTGCCTCGCTCAGTCGCACAAAACGCGTAGGGAATCGCTTCGAAAGACCATCATAGCGCGCGTTCTTTTCTCCAACGTGGCGCGAGCTTCGTGGAAGGCTGGGTGGGGCGGAGAGGGGCGGGAGGGGGGCGCGTCCGGCGCAGCACAACAAAGCGCGCCGCGCCGGAGCAATTTCGCGATTTTAATCCGGATAATCCGCGCCATCGCCGCGCGACCGCGCCGCGGTCCCGCCCTCCCGCCCGCCCCATCCCCCGCCCCTTCCACCCTCAACGCTCCGCGGCGCAACGCGCTAATATCGCCTCACCAGCGATTTGTGCCACCCGCGGAGTGCTGGGACGGGAAGGGTCAGTGGAGGTATGAATCGTTTTTTTTATTTTATCTTGGTCGATCGTTGTGGGTGGCTGTGGTGATTGACGTAGCGTGTTTGTTACGCCAGAACTGGTGCCGACTGGCGGTGCGGCGGTGGTCAGATTATGTGTGGCAATGGCAAGGTACGGTGCGGCTACGGCATCCAGGGGCGCGGTTCATGCGCCCGTGCAGAGGTGGTGGCAGGAGAAGTAGATGCTGATGGTGATGGTTGTGGGTTGTGAAGTTGGCAATGTTTTTGAGATTATAAGGAGGTCGAGATGATGTGTCGGTTGAGCCGGTTCAGCGTGTGTTGAGGGGTGACGGTGGTGTTTGAGAGGGTATGGAGGTCGGCAGGTTTGGTCAAGCGAGGGTGTGATGGTTTGAGCGTGGTGGTGGGTGTGGTGGTGGTGGTGGTGGTGGTGGTGGTGATCGAGAGGTGATGGTGGTGGTGGAGGTGGTGGTCGAGAAGGTGGTGGCGGTTGTTGTCAGGGAAACTTTTTTGAGAGATGGTTAAGGGAGGTTGAAAGGTTTGTAGTTGAAAGAATTGTAAGAGGATGGTGGGGTGGCTGAAAAGGGGAGATGAATGTGTGATGGTTGAGTTGGTGGTCGCAGAGAAGGGGTCATAAATGGTGAGGGTTGTGGTGTTGGCCTTAGGTTGGTGGTGTTAACGGTGACAGAGGCAGTGATAGTGATTATGGTGGATATGGATGGCAGTGACGCGGGCAATGGCATCGCCGTTATCGATGGCACTGACGAGGGCGGGGACGATGGTGTCGGCCGTGGCCTGGGCAGCAATAGCAGTGGTGAGGCGCCTACCCGCGGATTCCACTCAATTACCCCCAGGCCAAACACCGCGCCTCTGCCCGGCGCGTGCCGGCACGATCGCGCGCAGAGAGCTGCTGATGTCGGCTGCACAAACGAAACGGACGGTTTGCACGGAAAGCCTTCTCCTGAAACGCTTTCAGTTTCATGATGTCTGCCAACATTCTGGAGGATTTTTTTATTTTCTTCTCGTCACAATGCACTGACATTGCATTAAAAAATAGGAGTTGTGTTAACAAAATAACCAAATATTATTAATTCCAACACTTTCGATCAATGTAATTTTATTCGTTTTAAAAAAATATAACGAATATTGAATAATTTATATGGTGGCTAACAATAGAGGTTAGAAGCATGATTCTTGTGTGATAATGTGCCGTCACAAAACACTCAAAAAATGTTACAATTCCCCGTTCTGTATAATTATTATCAACTTTTTGAAAAAAGTAAATTTATGCCTCAAAAATATTTTTTTAAGAATACAGGCATACGGATACGTATCAAAGAAACATTCAATTTTACAGTCATGTTGCTTTAACTAAAATTGTGCATTTAACATGTTGACAAGCAGTTGTGTTTGGCAACAAGACAAAATAGTAATAAAGTAGGAGATAAATATGAATATATTTTGTAAATATTCAGATTTGTACGTAAACATTTTGATGTGCGATTATGAATATTCAGGTATTTTTTCGCAGATAAATGAATGTGGAAGCACAGAAGATGCGAATAGCAGGGACTCGTAATAAAATCTGAGTTTATAATTGAAATATATATTCAACCATATATTGATGTTGGATGATATTATATTTTTCACTAGAACTTTCACTAGAATTGTTTTTCTTGCTCCATTATATTTATATTTTTGAACTTCGTCTATTGGTTTTAAAGTATTTTTTGCATTTATTTTATTCATTCAGTACCTCATTGGCTTACTTACTCGCTCACTCTTCATTTATTTATAACTAATGTTTTTATAAGATTAAATATGTAAATTTTTCTATTGAATTTAGAATGCTTTCCAAACTGAATTCTATAATTAGAGAATTCCTACAGTTGTACTACCAACTGCATTTTAAATTTAGTTGTTTGCGTCATACGAGAAATAAGAATTGTCCGATTATATCTATTATGTAGCGAAAAAATAGCATCTAAAATTTGATTTCGCAACGTACTCTCAATATTCGTATATTTGTTTTGGCAACATTACATTTGTCAATTTGGTTTTCTTATAGACAAACTATTCACGACTAATTCATGACACATTAGAATCTAGCATGGCTTAGACGTTGATTAAATAATAAGTATATATTATTATGTTCTACTTGCCAATTTACTCTTCTATTTTTATTATACTTTTTGAACATTTGGTATAGTATGTGCATTTCTGGATTACAATTGACATGTCGGAAAATAATTTATTTTTTAAGCATTAAGTAATTTCATTAAATTTATCATTGGTATTGATAAATAAAACAGGTATATTCACTTATCTAAAATATATGCTATTTTATATTACCACTTTATTGAATTTCAACATCAGAGTTACTACATTTTGCATGCTATTTTACATTATCGCAGTTTAAAACTAGGACGTTATGTAACAAATACATGTGCGTATGAGAGTAAATCATTTTCGTTACTTTAAAATTTATAATGTATTGTGGAGCACATGAAACATTTGTGAGCCTATATTAGACTTGGTGCAATGAAGAGGAACCAATATATTTTTTTCAAATGTTTTAAACCTTACCATTTACCATCTCAAGTTCTTGTAATACAGAATAAGATTACTCTTTCCGATAAGTTCAAGAAGTAATTTCTCGAAACGTAGGATAAATCGAAAGGGGAAGGCAAGCGAATGAGAGATTGGAAATCGAAACACTCACAGCATAATCGATATACGTCAGCTCCCGTGTAGCATGGACTTCCACAAAAGCAGGCCATTTCCCGGATGGGTGTTTTACGTTCTCGCTGCATTCGTCGATAAAGTGCCATGTGGCTGTAAAGGCAATGTATAGCTGCGTAAACGGCTCTACAACCAGTAATTAAATAATTATTTCCGTCACGCGGGATCAATTCTAAAGTTTATTATCTATCGTAAATATTTACGACATTGAAAATCAAAACCGCGATAAAAACCCTTCATTTACTTTTTTTATTTCTTCAAACTACTCGTCACACCCTTTTATTTAAAAATATTGATTTTTATTTTATTAGCCGAAAGATGCTCGGTTGAACAATATCTGTGGAAATAACTACTCATGCCAAAACGTTTAGAAATAAATACGATATTAGGGTCATCACATTTAAATGAAAACATTGGCTTTTTTAAATATATATTTTATTCAACATTATTGAGAGAACACATTGTGTAAACATAAAGATTCATATTATATTAGAATTAAAATGATATTTCATCAAGGAAAAGTTTTGTTTGACCCCTTCGCAAAACAGGTTGTGAGTGTAAAGTGACCAGTTTATTAAATAATTCATTCCAAGTTAGAAGATAGCTTCCTTGTATCGCCAAACTTTAGGAATAGTTTTAATATTTTAATACTATTTAGCACAGAACCAACTTAATGTGTGCTACTTGCTGTCCAAATTATTATAAATATTATTGGATACTTTCGATATCGAACAAACGTTACTTCCCTGGCAACAAAAAAGTTTCTACGTCCTCTATTGATCAACTCACATTGTGTTCTGAATCTGTTGAAAGAAAACGCGTACGCTCAAGACAACAGTTTTCAGCTCCTTCGCCTGAAAAACTGCAAAACGGACGAACTCTCGGTGCGCCCATCACTCAGTGTAATTCCGCACGACACGCTTTCACAGCCGCCGATATGACGGATACAATTCGAAAGGAGTTAACCCCGTGCTGCGCTCGCTTCAATCAATATAACAACATTTCGGCTGTGGCTTGTGACAGCTGGAGCGGCGGGCGTGGGTGGGGGAAAAGGCGGGAGGGAGCGAGCGACGGCAGAGAAAGCGGCGGCATATACAGCGGTCGCAGGAGCAGAGAGAGAGAGAGAGAGAGAGAGAGAGAGAGAGAGAGAGAGAGACGCGGAACAGGCTGAATAGCCGTGATGAAACGACCAAGTTAAGAGAGACACACTGCAGTGCAAGAACGAGGAAAGACTTGTGACTCCAAAGACAGATAACGGGCAAGGCAAGGAAACGACGTGACTTCAGCCAGAAAATGGACAGAAGATAGAGAAATATGAAAGGAAAATGCGGAAAAGGACGGTGAAACGCAGTACGATGGACACGTGGACAATGAAAGAAAGACAAGCTGATGGAAGGGCTTAGCAAGGCGGGGGACAAATAAAAGCGGTCGAGAATTTAAAGCATGAAATGGCGACAGGATATGCAAAGAAAATGAGAGATGCAATCGAAAGAAAATGGATTGCTAAACAACTCCCAGCATTATCAACAACCTCATGATAATAACTGATGTGAGAGTAACTTTGATATCCGAATCGAAGAAGCCCCATACTAAAATGAGTAATAAATAAATTCAATTACACGGCACATATGAGCGGAAAATATGG